TCATCGAATTGTGGGTAAGATGGATGCGAAGATGTTTCTCAATATCATGGAGACTGTTATCTGGCCGTTTGTTCGCAGAACTGCTCGTAGCGGCTTCATTTTCCAACAGGACCCGAAGCACAAATCGAAGCTGCTCACCAAATGGTTCCGCGACAACAACGTCCCTCTGCTGACGTGGCCGTCGCAGTCTCTCGATCTGTATCTCATTGAACATCTATGGGAAAGACTAGAGCATCAAGTAAAAAATCTCAGAGCTCGAAATGAGCACGAAAAGTTCCTTCAGCTGAAGACAGCATGGGAGAACATCCCACAGGAGGAGATCGACAAGCTCATCGAGTCCATGCCACGCCGATGTCAAGCGGTCATTGACGTCAGAGGTTATGCGACAAAGTATTGATGTCGCTGTTGTTATATTGATATTATACAAGTTGTTCCGTTGTGAAATTGGAAATTCAGACAGATCTAAAATTTTACAGGTATGATGGTGTTTGCAAACAAAATGATGTAAATTCTTTTTAAATATTTCATAATTCACTTAGACAGCTCATCTCAACTTGCTCGCTCATCACATACGTTGATAGGCATTAACTGTGAAAAAATCAGGTGAAAAGATGGACATTTGAAGAAGTTACGTTCGAAAAGGTGAAAACGCATACGCATACTGAACGGTAACTGCCGCATCATAGCATCGTAGGCCAGTCTTCGAATGCTCCTGATAAGTAGCCGGCTGGTTGAATGTGATGTTTTTGTATTACAAGGGACGAAAAGTAAAATGGAAACTTGTTTGGACTCGAAGTTTTGTTATCTGCTGTTATCGCTGAAGTACGCTTCACAAATGCGGGATTGAGTCCCGTCTGAGGCTGAAGATTTGTCCATGAATCGTCAACCATGTCGGTATAACGGAAACCATTCGGAAAAAGCGGACCACAACGAGCTGCTCATCATTGGACCCGAAGCGAACGGCAGTGTTGGTGGAGTAGGATTTCTGGCCAAATCGACATCGCCTACCTATTGGAGTTTTGAGGGCATTTATGCAGAGCGACTTGAATCTGTCATTGGAGCTTACGATTGGCGTTTTTAAAAAATCTCTCAGATGACTACCAATACCTAACAAGAGGCTTGCTTAAGTGTGCAGACATTACCCGTCGTTCGCAGCCAGCCCGAATTGGTTTTAGAATTCTTTCCCTGAGGATACCCAGTGGCCCTCAAGGGTAACAGGAAGGACACTATCGGGATGGGTTTTCAAAGCTAGGGCATAGTGGAAACCCCACTACAAGTTCGCTCGGTTCGCTCATCGAATGATGATGTGTCAGACGAGTGTCAGTGGTACAGAATGCAATATTCGCGAGAGGACCCGCAGGTTCACCACGCTATCAGGTGATCGCCGACTAGCGCGACAATGTTGTTCTCTTTTTCTATTATTTTCTGTTTTTTTTGCTAGTGCGATCCCTTATATAATCTTCAAACTCGAGAAGCTTAAAAAAGTGAGGTATTTTTGTCGCTACTAGGACTTTTGTTACATTATGCTAATGAATGGATGAATATGACAGGACATTTCTGTTTACTATAGTCAGCTTTTCAAACCAGGACCCACACGTACACAATGACACACATTGTATAGCTCGTCCAA